TAGTGGCATGTCCATGGCCTGTCCTTGAAGCTGACGCTTTCCTGGTTCTTTCCTAAAGCAGCCCCTCGGTGCACCTCCCACCGTGGCAAAGGCAGGACGCTGCTTTTGGAGGGGGTAGAAAGTCGGCTTCGGTGAAATTCCCTCCCAGCAGCGACTGTGAGCAGAGACTGGACAGCCGCAGAGGGGACCCAGGCTCACCTCTCAAGGGAAGGAATTGGGGACCAAGATTTGAAACGGCCTCAGCATCCTATGCAGACGGGCTTCTCGGAGCAGGGCGGGTCTTCTCCCCTGTGTCTGCCTCCACTTGAGATGGGCACAGAAAGGTGCCCAATCAATGCTGAGACCAGCACACCCGGATTTATGCCACCCAGTGTGGGGTGCAGGTGCCCTGTTCCCTTGATGCTGAGTATTTCTGCCAGGCAGAAAAGTGGGTGCTCCCTACGCCCAGGCCAGGTCTTCTGTGTTCCACTTAGGCGGCACCCTCCACGAGGAGCACCGGCAGGAGCCCTGTGCTGGGGGCTCTTGTCTAGAGGGGACCCCCCACCACAAGCTCCGTGTGTGTGTACATGTACATGCTGGTATGTGAGTTGTACACACGTGTGTGCACATGTGTAGATGAAGTGTGTGTGGGGAGGTGATCCCGGCAGAGACAGAGGCCAGGGCCACAGTCTCGAGGAGGGAAAATAGGGGCAGGGCAGAGGACAGGTGCATCTGAGCAAGTGTGGGCACCAGGGCGGATGTGGAGCCTCGTGTCGCAGAGGCGGAAGCAGGAACCTCTCGGCAGCAGGCCCCGCGCGGCAGCTGGATTTAGTCGTCTCTGGGACCTTTAAGCTAGAGCCATTTCAATAGATGGTGTGGGTGACGGGCACAGGACCCCTGTGGGGAGAGAGACAGAGACAGAGACACAGAGAGATGATACAGAGAGACACAGAGGCAGAAAGAGAAACAGAAAGACCGAGAGAGGAAGACAGAGACAGACAGAGAGCATGAAGCTGGAAAGGGACGTGGGACCCCAGATGGCTGTTTGCTCCTTTGTCTGGCAGGAGGCAGGGGTGGCAAGGAGGGGATCCTGAGGTGTCTGCAAGGGTCGGCATGGCTGTGGGTAGCATCCGGGGTCCGCCTGCTGAGCTTCGGTCACTTTCAAGTGTCCCTGGGCTGCTCACCCAGAAGGTGAGATGAGGAGAGGACCCACTCGCACACAGGGTGTTAGGAGCAGGCCAAGGGCCTCCCCACACTGCCAGGCGCAGTTCTGGACGAGCTCTGTCTCTGGCCTCTCTGCTGCCCACTCAGAACAGCGGAGAGACCGGAGCCCCGAGGCGGGGGAGGGCGCAGGGACAGCGCCAGCCCCGTGGGACCTTCTGCCTGGCTTCCAGCCCTGCTTGCAGCACTTGGGGCCGGCAGGGCTCCTGGGGCATCACAGTGCCGGGTCAGGGCCAGCAACACTCCACTCTGGCAGGGGACCCTCCTATTCTGGCCTGTGACCCCACATGACCCCACGTGGCCACCACCTCTGGGCTCAGGGAGGCTGTCAGCTGGACTCCAAGGAGGAGAAGCCAGGGCCCACTGCCCCACAAGGGTCTGAAAGGTACGGCGTCCCGAGGTGGGAGGCCACTGCCGGCCCAGCACGCCCTAGCCGCCCGGCTCCCCTGCTGCCTGAGCCAGCCTCCCACCATCTCCTTTGGAAGTTGGGAGCGTCTTTTGTATTCCAAAGGCCAAAGGGCCAGGCTTGCCTTTAATTAAAATGCGCGTCCTTTAATTAAAGGCCCCATAACACATGAAGGGCATCCACTGAAATACGACATGTGACACAGTCATTTCCCCGCTGTTAATTACTAATTAATGAAGCTATTTCAATTAATAGCTTCCCCACTTCGCTCCACTTTGACAGGCCCCGTGCTGGGGTGCGTCCTGCAATCAGACAGCGGCTCCCTCGCCAGCGGCCGCCCTGCTGAATATTCATACCGCGGCTTCAATGCTTTTCAATTAAACACAATAGAGTAAACCCCACGCCGTGCTGGCCGCCCTGCTTGCTCAGAGGGGACGGCGGCCCCACTGTGGACGGTCGGGACAGAAAGAGGCCAGTGGTCCCTGGAGGCATCCCAAGCAAGGGCAGCCCCCGGGGAGGCCTCTGCAAATCCCGGCCACAAGGGACAACCCACCAGGGGGACAGATGCACAGAATCCCTGAGGGGGCAAGTGGGGACCCCCAGGGCGCTGCAGTCCTACAGCTGAAGGACAAAGCAGAAATGGGGGGGCTAGGGAGAGCAGCCCAGAGAGGTGCAGGGGCCATTAACATGCTAATTACGAATATTAAGTGGTCATTAGAGACCCCACTTTGAAGAGAAGACAGGAAAGTGTCACTTAGGGTGACCATGAGGGGACGACGCTACACGTGAGTGGGAGATGGAGAAGGGCACCCAGGGAGGCCTGTGTGGGGCTGTCAGGTTCTGGGGACAGGACCTCAGGGGAGCCTGGACCGGGCACAGCCCCCACGCAGGAGGGACATTGGCCGGAGGCACTGGGAGCAGCTCTCAGAACAGCTGGGAGCACAGCCACCCCATTCAGAGTCCAAACGCCCGCAGTGCCAGCTGCTCACCTGACCAAGTGGGGGGCAGCTCCACCCCCTGAAGACCCCTGTGCTCCTGAAGACCCGCGGTCTGGTCCCAGGGAGGGGATGGAGGGCACGGCCCCCGGAGCTCCACACTGCGGCCAGTGGTGACAAAGCCCTCGAACCTCGAACTCCTGGCTGCAGCCTTCTGTCTTCTCGTTGGGGGTGGAGACAGGAAGCCCCACGTGTGCAAGGCCCTGGGCCAGCAGGAGGGACTGTGGTGCTGACAGTCTGGGCAAGGGGCAGCCGGGAGAGGGTCCCTGCCCCTGAGAGTCGCCTTGACACGCACGCCCCCAGGCCCCCCGTCCCCGTGTACCGCTCCTCGCACAGTGTGCAGCCTCCCCCACCATTGCCCATGCGGTTCCCTGCGCCCGGAACGTCCTTCCAGCCTGTCCCCTTCTCTTGGAGCTGAGGGTGCGAACACTGACTGACAAGGGCTCTGAGTGGCCGGCGCCACAGTGCCTCCCGCGGTGTCCCAGGGCGGAGTCTGGGGACAGCTGCTCTGGGGCCGGAGTGGACACAGCCCTGTCGGACGGCGCCCTCTGTCAGCCAGAGGAGGGGTGACAGCGGCCTGGGCTCCTGAGCCTCCTCCTGGCTGTGGGCCGTGCAGGTACATGCATGCGCACATGCATGTGCACACACACGTCCCAGGTGGCTGGGGCCCCTCCTTTCGGGAGGGAAGGTGACAAGCGCAGTCTGGTGTTGGGTGAACAAGGCAGGTGGAACCTCCAGACGTTGGATCCACGTTCTCGCCTCCTGCTTCATCTGATGTCCCTGCTCGACCTCAGGGTCCCTGTCTGCCGCTGGGATCTGCCAGGGCTGCCCCGGGTGTGGGGACGTGTCTGAGCCTGACTGTACCAGACAACACCCAGCCCAGGGCCGCCCTACACCCCCGCTAGAAACCCGCTGTTTGCTACTAGCGCCCTCTGCAGTAGCAAACATCCTCCCCCAGACTCTGGGGAGCCCCAACCCAGGGTCCATCATGGGCCTTGGGAAGGGTTAGGCAGACGGCACTCAACTCCAGGGTGACATTCCAGACCCGGTTCAGCAGTGATGGGAGGATGCTGGGCCCCTCTGCTGGCTCCTCCTTCCTCCGTTCTGCAAGGAAGGGACAGAAGTGTGGCCAGATGTGGAGTCCCGGAGGCCTGGGGCCAGTCTGCACGCGAGCCCCAGGGGCCCCTTCTGAGCAGAACCCACCATCACCTCCTGGGTCCTGCATCCCTCAGGGGCTCCAGGCACTGAGACCTGACGACTCTGGGTTCCCATGGGTAGGGCTGTCTCCTCTCTCAGACTCTCAAAGGGTTTACAGTTTGCTGTGGATTAAAAACAAAGGTGCTCATCACACACTCATGTTCACAGCAGCATTATTCACAACAGCCAAGAGGTGGAAACAACTCATGTCCATTCACGGATGAGTGGGTAAACAGAACATGGTGTAAGTATATACACATATATATGTAAATATACACAATGGAATATTATTTAGCCTTAAAAAGGAAGGAAATTCTGACACTTGCTACAACATGGATGAACCTTGAGGACGTTGTGCTCAGTGAAATAAGCCAGACACAAAAGGAGAAATACTGTATGATTCCACTTACATGAGGTCTCTAGAGGAGTCAAATTCATAGAGACAGGAAGTAGAATGGTGGGGGCCAGGGGCTGGGGGAGGGGGTGGGGACTTGGTGTTTAATGGTGTTTGGTTTGGGGAGATGAGAAAGTTCTGGAGATGGATGGCGGGGATGGTGCACAACAATGAGTGTAGTTAATACCACTCAACTGTGCGCTTACAAGTGGCTACGATAATAGACCCCATGTGTGTGTCCCGAGGAGTTCACAGCGGTGCGTGGCTGCTGCACGACACCACGGTCCGCAGGGATTTCCTGGGCTGGGCTTCCAGCTCGAGTCCCCCTGAGGTTCCTCGTGAAAACCCCAAGGTGAGCAGACGTAAAGGCCTTTATGGCAAATCCACGTTCTTGCTGCACCTCTGTAAACCATCGGAGCAAACCCACCCAGGCCAGACTCACTTTGTCGTCAAGAATCTTTCTCTCAGGTTCTTTCTGGTCAGGAGTCGGGAGACGGTCAGGGAAAGTTTGTGCTTAAATGGAAAACGACTCTGATTCTGATTCTGCGGGAGCCGCACGCACAGCTCCGTGGATAGCAACAATCCTCCTCTCCAGGCACACGGCGGGCCTGCCCAGCAGAGGAGCAGCCCAGCGCCAGCTCTACTCTACTGGCACTTTCATTTCAACATTCCCAATCCACAAACGTGTCCCTTGGATTCTCATTTGACCTGTTCGCAGCACTTTGCTGGTTTCCTCGTGAATGAGTTAAATAAATCTTTAACACGTTTACTCTTTTTTTAAAAAAGGATGTTAAATAAAACAACGGTCTTCCTTTTAAATAGTTTAATAGTCATTTAAATAAGGCTTTGGTGTGATTTTCCACATTTTTATAGTTTCTCTTCTCTACATATACATCTTGCAGAATCTATTATTAATTCATGAGCCGGCCAGCTCCTCTGTTATAACCTGGGAGGGTGAAAGACAATTCAGAAAGGGAGGTTCGCCTGGTTCTGGGGAGCAGCTTGGGCAGGAGGGGCCCACCCCCTCTCAGCTGGAGTCACTAGGCACCAGGAAGCAGATCACATCGCTAGTGCCCAGGGACCCACGAGAGGGGCATACGGGGGGAGCCTAAAGACGGGCAAAGGCCTTGGGCCCACCGCCTACCCAGGGAACAGGGGTCTCAGCCTGGCTATTCGGAGAAGCCCCCCCACAGGCTTCACCTAGAGCCATGGTTCTCACTCGGGAGTTTCCCTGGGGACAGCTGGTGATGTCAGGGGACAGTTTTGGTTGTCATGACTGGGGGGTCATCTACTGTGTGGCAGCCAGGGATGCTGCTAGACACCCCACAGTGCACAGGGCGGCCCCCCACAGAGAATGATCCAGCCCCAAGGGCACAGAAACAAAGGGAAGCAGGTTTCAGGGGAAGAGCCCGGGATGGCCACTGCACTGGCTTACGTCGGGGGCCGACTGTAGAGGGTGCCTGTGGGTCTACGTGGGACAGGCTGTGTCTGTTATGAAGCTGTTGCCACTAAAAACACACCCATGCACCCCTGGCAGCCTCGCCAACCCTGAGACGAGGGCACGATCGCCCCACCAGCAGGTGGGGAAACTGAGGCCCAACCAGGGCTGCCTGGCTCTGGCATTCGCCCTGCCCGCCGGCCTGGCTGAGGCTGGCTCTCTCCCCTGCTCATAAATCTGGGGTCGAGAGCGAGTGTCCCTTCAGCTGAGTCCTTTGCCCCGAGGCTGATGGCGCTGGGTCCTCGGGGCTTGTGGGGTCTGGGCAGCTAGAGGTCCTCGTGGGCGGGGCTCAGGTCCACGCGCTTGGCCTGTCCGAACACCAGGAAGGTGCACAGCCCCAGGCTGCTGATGGCGGCCACCAGGTTGAACACGGATGTCCAGGAGCCAGTGGTCTCGATCAGGTAACCGCCCAGGCACACACCCACGACACCTGCACTCAGGAGAGGGGACCGAGGGGCTGAGTGACAGGCAGTCTCAAGGGCAGTGCCAGGATGAGAAGCTAGGGGGGTGGTGCCTGGAGGAGAGGCTGGGGTGGGGGCTGGAAGGAGAGAAGCCAAATTCAGGTGTCCATGCTGCCGGGCCGAGGGTCTCAGGGGGCAGAGACCTCAGGGGCCATCCAGGAAATCGCCCACCCAATGGGTCCCTCCACATCCTCCACAGGGGACGGGGGCACTGGGGAGGGGCTGGGCTGGGGAACGAGTCCCGTCATCATCCTCCAGGCACTGGGCTCACGGGGACCCTGGACCACGGGGATTTGACTCACATCTGGGGGTCAAGTCAGGGGGCGAGTGGGGCTACGTGCTGTTGGAGAAGCGAACACTCTGTTCTCTCCCTAGGCCAGCTCTGGGGTCTGCACTCTCCCCACACTGGTCTGACACTGTGGGACCCTGCTGAAGGTGCCCGGCCCGAACCCGCAGGGCTGGAGCAGCCAGAGGGAGTGGGAGGACACAGGGGTGTAGCAGCCAGGAGGCACCTCAGGGCCTCTGGGCTTGAGCCCCAAAGGCAGGGACCCCAGGGCACCTCTCACCTGCCAAGGCCCCAGCTGTGTTGGCCACACCTGCGAACAGGGCAGAGAGAAGGAGGACTGGTCAGAGGAGACTGACTGTGACCCACCCCTGGCTCACCCGCCTGGGGGCAGCCCTGGGAGCTCAAGGAGGGACGAGGCTGGGTGAGCAATGCCTGGGCTGGAAGCAGTTGCTTCCTATCCAAACGGCAGGGTCCTCACCAAACAGAAAGCCAGCGCAGGACGGGGCCAGGTCCTGGATGTTCACAGAAATGCCACTGTGGGAAAAGGGAAGGGAGGCAGGCCAGTGACCACGGGCAGACCACCCTGCCAGGCCAGCAGCCAGCCCTCTGAGTGCCTGGAGCCTGCAGACCGTCAGGGAGCACTTGGGACCCACCCTGCCATGCCCGGGTGCCGGGCCATGCCAGGCCGTCTGAACCCGCCCCAGCTCTCCCATCTGGGCCTTGGCACAGCACAGGCACCCACTCCCGGGACAAAAAAAATGGGGAAGCAAGCTTGCTCAAATGCAGTTCACTAATTTGAAAGCGACATTGAACTGCCAATTCCCAAAACAACTCCCAGTGAAGTTTTCCTAATTAAAGGTTAGTACCACTGAGCAGATCGGGAGGGGCAGATGCAGACGCAGCTCACCCCTCACGTGTTGGGGACAAAAGATGCTACCTGGAGATGGCATCTCTTCTCCCAGCCCCTCCCCAGGTGAGGTTCTTGTTTTTCAAATGGCCCAGGTCCACACCAGCTCAGACAACCCTTTGCCTCCGTGGCTCACTCACGGGACCTGCCATGCAGCCGCCCTCCACGTGGCCCCTGAGCCAGGCGGCTTCTCCCTCACGCCCAGGACGAACGATGCTGGGGATGCTTGTGGGCAGCAGGGAGCGGCTCCAGCGGACAGGGCGCCCGGCCCTCACCTGTGGTTGAAGGTCTGAAGACCGATGGAGGCTGACGCAAAGACCACAGACTTACAGAAGCTCGAGGTGTGACCCAAACACAGGGCAAAAATGCTAGACAGGCCGAGGCCCATCACCTGCGGGAGAGACAACTGGTGACAGGGCAGGAGCCACGGCAGCCAACAAGTCCCCTCCCCAAGCGGCCTGGGGCACAACGAACAAGGGTCGGTGAGCAAACTCCTCCCAGGCTGGGGCCTGCCCAGGGGACATGTGGGAAGAGGCTCCATGATAAGCCAGCCCTGCTCGTTGGAGCTAAAGGGGAGAGGCCCCATCCTGCATGAGCAAACCCAGGCCCAAAAATGGGTGCCAGGGCTCCGAGGGGCAGAGAGCCCGTGTACGCAGCTCAGGGAAGACCTCAGCTCAGCCAAAGTGGCCCCAGCACTGACCTGGAGCACCCCTAGCTGCCCTGCCACAACAGCTGCCTTCTGGGTCAGGTGATCTGGGGACAGAACCCCTCAGCTCCCAGGAGCAAAGCAGGGGTGCCCAGAGGAAGCCACGCGCCGACGGTCCTACCTGCATGAACTTCCGAACGGTGATGGTTCTGTAACCTGAACAGAGGGGAGACGGCAGATGTTCCCATCGGCCCATCTGCACTGATGCCCCTGGTACAGGTGGCGGGGGGTGGGGGTCCCACCCAGCACACTGAGGAGAGGCAGCAGGGGAGACGAGAGACGGGCCCTGGCTCAAGATGGGGTATCCTGTGTCGTGGTGAGATGTGTGCACATGCATGTTGGTGCATGTGCGTGCATCTACTCTGCTGTGTGTGTGCATGGAGAGGGTTCCCACAGCAGAGGCCAGGCAGACGCATGGGAGGCAGGCCACTTGGACAGTTACAAATGTGCTTTCTTTGTGTTTCTGCAAAGTTTATAATTTTTCCACAACTGGTGTGCGGTACTTTTGTAACTAGGAAAAGACTAGCATTTAAGAAAGAGCGCAGTGTGCGGAGGGAGAGGGGAGCATGTGTGTGTGCGAGGGCGCTGTCCTCGGGGCGTGTGCACTCGGGTCCTGGGCGGGCACCTGACACGCACAGCCCGCCCCAGGTCTGTGACCTCTGACACTACCAGGTGCCCTTTCCTGCTCTGGAAAGGATTGGGGGCTGAATCTGGCCCCTCGAGGGGATCTCCACCATCACAGCGGGACTCAGGTCCTCTCACTGTGCCCCAATACCCCCTTAATTGGGAAACTGAGGCTGGGGGAGGCGACAGGCTTAAGGCAGTCATCAGCTGAGTCAGGCGGGGAGCTAGCTCCCACAGGCCCAAGAGCCGGGGGTCCCAGTCTCACAGCTTCGTCCTCAGGGGGGTGAAGCCCCCTCCCATCGCTGTACCTGCACCTCCAGGAGGGGTGCCCCCCTGCCCCCGAAAAGTGAGGTAAGCCCGGTGTGGCTCTGGCCTGGCCCCTGCCCTAGCGCTCACCCTGACTGATGAGATGATCGGACAGAAATCCACTGAACAGACTGGCGGGAATCGCCACCAGCCAGGGCACCACGTTGAAGATCCAGCCCTGTTGGGGAAGGAGGGGAACAGGGCCTCAGAGGTGGCCAGAGCCGGCACGCAGCCACCAGGGAGAGCGGCTGCCCATGCCCACTACTGCCCAGTAAGGCTCTCCTGCCCGCAGGCTGGACCTTCTGGGGTTGGGGATCTCCCTCGCCCTAACCTCTCTGCCACCCTGGCCAAGCGCTGGGCCCACCAGGACTGTGCCCCTGCAGGCCGAGTCTCCCCCATGGCTCCCCATACTGTGATGGGGCAGAGCTAGGGGACGCACCCCGCCCTGGGAATGTGCGGCTCAGGGGTCCTGGTCACCAGAACTGGGAGGGTGGCCGGACAGCCTTGGTGGAGCGAGCTGAGTGGATGGGCAGGTGACAGCCCTGTCCACATCACAGCCCCTGCTTGGCCCTCATCAGGAACGACCATCCACAGATCGGCCGGCTGGGTTGTATGGTGGGGACTCTGCTGGGGCAGCTGGACACCCGGGTGTGAATGCATTAGCGGGATGGCACCGGGCCTTTCCAAGGCGCATCGACCCAGGGTGCCAGCCCCGAGAGTGGTGAAGCCACTAGCCCCTGTGGTGTCAGAACCATCACCGAGGCCGGTGGAACCAGGGGCCCATCTGCACACCACGTGCTGGCTTCGTGGCGCCACTTACCCTGCACGAGCTGCCAGGCGGCCAACCCACCTTGGAGCTGGGGAATGTCTCCTTAAAGAAGGTCGGCAGCCAGGAGAGGAGGATGAAGAAGGAGCACGCGGAGGAGAGCTGGGAGAAGATGACCGCCCTGCAGGGAAGCAGACGCCAGGCTCAGGTCCACGCGCCCCCAGCCCCCTCCCCTCACCAGGGGCCAAGAGTGGCCCTACCCCAACGTGGGCCGATCTGACCCCCTGGCTGTACTCACCCTGTGGTCAGTTGGTGCCAGGGAGCACGTGAGGCCCGCCAGGCTCCAACCCCCATCCTGCCGCCCCTGCCCCACACTGCGACCCCATGGCAGCCCAGCTCACCAGACAGAAGGCTTCCGGAAGAGCTGTCTCCAGGGCACTTTGGTGTGCTGGGACATTGGCAGGCCTTGTGCCAAAACGCCCAGGGCCAGGATAAGATCTAGAGGGAGCAAGGTGTTTCCACGCAAAAGCAGATCAGAATCTGGCAGGATGGTGCCTGCTCATGACAGACCACTCACGGGGATGGTTCCAGTGGGCCAGCAGGCCCCCACACCCCTGCATACCCTCCCTGGCTGGGCACCATCCTCTCTGCCAGCGCCTTGGGTTGGTAGCATTTGCCTTTGAGGGTCGACGTGTGTGTTGAGGCTTTCTTTCTCGATCCTTTCCTGTCCTCGAATCCCCCAGCCCCCTTCCTGCCACCTGAAGCCACGACCGCCCTGCAGACTGCCTGTGCCCACGGCAGCTCTCCCTAGGAGCCTGCTTCTGCCCGAGCGGAGCTCTGAGGACTGAGCCCAGCCACACCCGGGCCGAGAGCTCGGTGGCAGACATGTTTCCTGAGCCCCTAGTCTAGGGGACTCTTTTCACAGCCTGGGGCAGCCCTGGGTCCCCCTGATCTGGCATGCTCTGCAGAAGTTCCGTGGCTGCTCTGGGCCTGGCCCCTCCCCAGGCAGTGGTGTTGGCCGGCACTCGCCCACCCGGCTGTGGTTACCTTGTTCGCTCAGCAGGTACCTGTACACGTAACACACCCACAGCAGGGTGAGCCCGCCAGAGAAATAGAAGACGCTCTGCCAGCCGTACCAGTCCAGGAGCAGGGAGCCCACAGCCCCCGTCACCAGGGTCCTGGAACGACAGAGAGGAGCGTGGCCATGACCCTCGGCTTCACTCAGGCAAGCAGATAGAGAACCCCCACCCGGTGTGCACTGAGTCCCTAGTAAAGAAGGTGTTTCTGGTGCCTGTAAAGCAGCTGCTCAGAAGCCCCAGTCTCAGCGTATTTTGTTAAGGATTGCAAGCTTTCAGGAGGGGCTTCAGATGCCAGGGGCCAGGGTGGACGCGGGCACAGCTGCGTGGGTGTGACATGGCACAGGGGTGGCTGCTGTGGGCCCTGCGCTGCTGCAATTTCTTGCTTCCAGGCACTCTGTTGGCCTACAATCGTGGTGTGGATACTTTTAAACAAAAAAAGGCAACAAGAAGAACGTATTGCCAATGCTGAACTGAAACCTCCATGCTGTTCTCAGCTTCACAGGTCAGAGATGACGGAACAGCAACCAAGCCCAACTCCCGCTATTGTCCCAAATAAGTCCTTGCCCACCCTCCCCCTTGCTGCCCCTCATCTGCTGAGCTTTGGCCAGGAGACAAAGGGGAATAAGAGAGAAGAAAAAAGCTCCTCTCCATTGAGGCCAGTGAGCCTGTTGGGGGTGGCCTTGCCCTCTGAGCCTCGCTCCCCCAACCATGGGGTGGACACAATCTCTCCCTGGGCCTTAGGGAAACGGGATTCTGGATGAACAAGGAATGTTTCTCTGTGGGAGCATGTCCCATGTCGCTTATCTGAAGTTGACATTTCACTGGCGCCCTGGGTTTTCATTTGGGCCCTTCTGGCCCAATCACAGGCACCCCCTGCCCCTCTGAATTCCTGCCTAGACCTCAGCAGCAATGAAGTCAGAACCCCGGGACAGGCAGCCCCATTAGGACAGCAGGACATCCTTCCACCCCTAGCGAGGTCTGGACATGAGGGCCTGGGGCTCGGGGGCGGCGTAGGGAGGAGGGACACAGGGTGCTCACACCTGGGCTGTGACAGGTGAGCACAGGCCACCTCCCCACCAGGTTCCTTCTGCACAGATGAAAGGGGACTTGATGAAGAAGTCACTGCCCCTGCCCCGCGCCAGAACCCCAGGGCCCACGCCACGTGCCACCGGCACTGGGGACAGAACGCACACAAAGAGAAGCGCTGTGCTCAGAGATGGGGAGTGACAGCCAGCGCCTCCTGGAGCACAGAACCCGCCAGGCCCACATAACCCTGAGCTGCAGATGTTCCCATGTGGCCTGTCCTGCCTGGACCTATGGCCGCTTTGCCAGGGGCACTGCCTCTGCCTCCCCTGCCCACCCAGGCTGGGACTTACCCGAACTGGGAGCCAGCCCCCACAGTGCTGTAGGTGAAGCCTCGCTCGCTCTCCCGCACCTTCTGCGACAGCAGGCTGGTCAGTGCAGGGAAGTAAACTCCTGGAACAAGCAGAGAATGCAGACGATCGGCAGCCACATCCCCGAGCTGAGGGGTGAGAGCCAGGCCGGGAAGCTCCCCGGGGCCCATCCTGGATTATTTGGGCCCACCTCACCCCCAAGGGACCAACAGGGCTGGGCTCCCAGTGACACTCGGCTAAGGAGACACTCAGCTTGGGTGAGAAGAGCATTCCAGGTTGCAACACAGAGTGGGCAGCAGGAAGACTCGGGTCCAAGCTGGCACTCCTGCCACTGTCACACTGGCTTCCGGAGCCATGCCAGCTCTGAGACCTGGCACTGATATGCACATGTGCGCACACACATATGAGTTGTACGTGCACAAACACACACACCATACACTGATCACATTAGCACACACGCCAACTCACACTAACACACAGTCACACACACTCGCACACACTGACTCACGTGGTCACGCACTCACATACACATTTGGACACAAGATGCATGTACAACCAGTGAGACCTGCACAGCCCTGTGGAACCACAGTGCTGGGTCCTGGACACGACATTGCCCTGTAGCAACTCCAAATGTTACCACGGCAGGTGGGGGAGGGAGCACAGGATCTCTCTGTATGTTTCTTTGCAACTTCCTGAGAATCTACAATTATTTCAAAATCTAGTTAAAAAAAACCCCTGCCCTGAGCTTTGCAGCTCCTGCCTGTTACACTGTGTTTTTCTGCAGAAACACCCAGGGAAGCTAAGAGGCCAGGGGCCCTGGACAGGACATGGCCCTTGCCTTCCCATTGGGTCCTGGGCCCCTGTCCACGCCAAGTGCCAGTCACCCAGGGTGACAGCTGCCCCTTGAGCCCTGTTTTGTCCCCCGTAATTGGCCACAGACCAGCTGTACAGAGGAGTCCTTTTGCCTCCCAGGATGATGGGGAGAAACAGCCCGAGCTAAGGGCCACCCAGCTGGGCACCCAGAGAGCCAGCCAGGTGTCCTGGGACCTTCCTCTGCAGGACAGAGAGCACCAGCCAGAGGCCACATGAGGAGCAAGTGGGGTGAATCTGCAGGAGCACAGGAGCCAGACCGCTCAGACCACTCAGACCAGTGGGACCAACCATGGGCCAGACTGGTGGGGTTGGTCAGGAAACAGGCAGGGGCCAATTCCAGGAGATCTGGGTTCCTGGGGGCACAGGCTAGAAGCAGGGTCATGCTCTGCCCCAGGCTCTAGGGGAGAGGGGAAGTGGAGGTCCCTTCCAGAGTGAGTGGGAGAGGTACTCAGGAAGGATCCCAGATCCCACCCACTCAGATCGCATCCAGGTGATGGAAGCTGTCGATGCCATGCTGGTACAGGGCAGGAGTTCAGAAGGCCACCCCGTTCCCTTGAAGGTGGGCTGTGCACCACCTGCCATCAGCTAGGCCACTGGGCGTCTTTGGGGGGTGCTCTCTCCAGAAGTCTAATGCCCCCAAACCATGGGAGACAGAAGTCTTAAGAAACCTGCATCTCCTCAGCCTGCTGGCCTGGCTAGTGGGGTCGTGGTCTCTGCCCAGCAACACGAAGAAATGCCACATGTCCCCACTGTGCTGCCCAGTGGGACTAATAAATATCACGTAGCAACCTGGCTGCCACCCAGGTCCCTAGAGTAGACTTTTTGGCAGAGGAGGACAACTGACATCAGAATGTGCCAGACTTTGAAGTGTTTATAGAAAATGGAAAGTGGTTCAGGTGCCAAGTCATTGTAGGGAAGTGCAGCCGGGACAGCACCCGCCAACAGGGACTGCCCTCCCGTGGCCCTGCACAGGGCCGCGCTGCCGGCGAGGACAGCTGCTCACCCGCCAGGCTGAGGGCCCCAGGACCCTCTCAGCGATAGCCCTGAGGTGTGATACACCTGCTCTGATTTAAGGCAGAGCTGAAAGCACATCATACACAGGGGCACAGACAAGCACATGTATGCATGCACACGTTCACCCACCTGCGTGAACACATACACGCACTCATCCACACATAAACACATACACATGCACACACATGTGTACACACATGTTCACCCACCTGCATGAACACACACATGCACTCATCCACAGGTGTGTAAGCACACATGCACACACTCCCCTGCTCTACCACGCCTGGCACGAGAGTTGAATGCCGGCAGCGTGAGGGAGCAGCCTGAGGCAGCCCTACCTTGGAGCAAGCCTGTGAGGATGCGAGAGAAGGTCATGAAGACAAGGTGGGTGCTGCCGAGGTGGGCGAGCATCGGGGTGGCAGCGGTGATGAAACCCCAGGCGGAGGCTGACAGCAGGATGACCTTCTCACCCCCGATCCTAGAGTGGGGACAGAAGGACGGTGATGGGAGAGCTGTGCGCCTGGGCTGATGGGCTGGTCCAGAAGATCCTGATGTGGAGGAGCCTCGGGTGGAGGGCCTGCACCATGCCTCGCTCAGAGCAGCCCTTTGGGGTAGGCAGTGCTGCCATATCCCCCTCTGCAGAGGAGGCTGCGTGAGAGTGCAGAATCCAGCCTGGTTCGTCTGTCCCCACAGCCCCCAGAGCTGCCTCATGAGGATGCCGGGTGCTCCTTGGGGTGCCGAGCACCCCAAAGGGGAGCTGTGTGCTGGCCCCCCAACCACCTCCCACGTGGACCTCGGGTCTCCCAGCTCACATCTTCCTCTGTGTGAGGCCTCTCCCCACATTCATTTCCCAGGAGCTGCCTCACCCTGTGTGCCAGCAGGGCCCATCCTTCCCGAGAGAAGCCCCCAGCCCTGCAGGGAGAGGTGGTTACCTGTCCCCCAGGTGGCCGCCCACGATCTGAGTCAGGCAGTAGCCCCAGAAGAAGCTGCTGAGCACGATGCCGGCCTCCTTCTTGTTCCAGCCGAAGTCCTGGCTCATGGAGACGGAGCAGACGGGCATGCTGACACGGGCGCAGTATAGCAGGCACGTGCCCAGCAGCAGTGCCCCTGTCCATGCCTGACACTCGGGCCTGCAGGAGAGGAAGGCCTGGTCAGGCCCAGAAGAGGCGGAGCCCTCCTTCACGCACGTTGGAAGGAGGCGACTCAGCCATGTCTCAAAGTCTAAATGCCCCTGTCTATTGACTCCTAGGAGAACACAGCAGATACTAGAAAGATGCACGACATCATTCAGAACGTCAGAGCTGGGGACAGCCCAAATGGCCAGCCATAGGGCAGGTTAAATAAGCCACTGCAGGGGTGCTCCTCTCCAGGACCGGCAGCCGGGACCAGGGCACCCACCTTCTCACGGACTGAGGGGGCCCAGGAAGCCCACCAGGCTGGAGCTGGCAGCTCATAACCCACTGAAGGAGCAGTGGGCTGGGCAAGAGGACCCCAGCTGAGGCAGAGGGAGGGTCCCATGACCGGGTGAGACCAGCACGGTGGGCCCCCCTACAGGGTCCCCAGGAAACCTGGGGGCAGGTGGCGCTGGGCAGCCAGCAGGGGACACAGTGCCATGGGGGCAGGTGGCCCCTTGGAGGAACCTGGGCAGGGGTGAGGCAGCCCTGGCAGCCTGGGAAGGCCTCCAGACAAATGTCCATAGAGGGACAGTCCACAAAACTCCTGGCCAGTGCTCCTCGATATTAGTCACCAAAACCAAAGGAAGTCAGAAACTGCCTCAGCAGGAGGAGCCCAGGAGATGCGACTCAGGGCCTGTGGGATCCTGCATGGGGTCCTGGGACCTCGGGGAAACTGCAGAAATCAGAACAATCCTGTGTCACTATCAGTCCACTGATGGTACAGACGCAGGGCACTAATCTGGGGAGGCTGGTGTGCTACCCTCACAGTGATTCTGTAAATCTAGAACTCTTCTAAACGACAATGTTTATTCTTAAGAAGAGAAAAAGAGAGAGAGGGAGCCTCAAGCACTGTCCGTGCGGGAGAGACCCCGTCGGGGAGGCACACGGGGGATGGCCCAGGGGAGGGGGCAGCTCTAGGGACTTTCGATGTCTGTGTGCAGTGAGGGTGGTGACGGGGGCAGCTGTCAGGAGAATGGAGAAGCCTAAAGCAGTCCCAGCAGACGGCTCGGGGTCCTGCTGCACCTGGACTCGCCCCCCGGCTGGGGTGTGGGTACAGGGGGCTGGGTTCTCCCTGGGGCTGTGACACGCTGCAGGGAGAAAGCTTGGGCTGTGGGAAGGACACGGGCAGGGGTTCCAAGCCTGGGGATCTGAGGCCTGGCCAGGTTGGATGAAGGAGGACGAGGCATCGGTACTGCCAAGCCTTGAGGAGGTCACTAGGGAGGAGAAGGTCAAGGGTGAGAGGCCAGGGCGCCAGGTGGCCAGCTCATAGACATCAAAGTCACCCAGGAAAATGGCGGGATTCAGCCAGGAGAGGAAGGCAGGGACCACGAGCCAGGAACCAAAAGGAAGGAAGGGGTGTCCAGGAGGGGAGGCTGGCTAGAGCCTCAGAGGGCAGTTTGCAGAGCAGAGTGGGGAAGGACACCTCTTGCCTGGTGGATGAGGGGGACAATGGAGTCTCTCCCTTGCCCCCCAAACCCCCATTCAGACCTCTGTCTAGCCCTGGCGGGGGCTGCCCCTGGGCTGCCCTGGTGGGGATCTACCAGAGAACAGTGAGTGGCCAGGGGTGGTGGAAGTTTGGACTCGATCTGCGGTGGACACATGGGCATGTTTCCCACCCGCTGGCCCTCTCCATGCTCGGGCTGCCAGTCCGACTCAGGAGGACAGGCCAGGAGCACCCGTGGGAGGGCCGGAGTCCTCATCTGGTTGCCTCCTGGGGGGATAAGGCCCTAAGGGTAGCTCATGCCTCAAGGTATTGCCAGCTGGCCCAGAGACAGTGGGTGGCACACACGCCAGGAGCCTGATAAACAGGCACAACAAAATGTGTCAGCTATCTCAAAGGCAGCAACGGACCTGGAACGGGGCCCACCTCACCGGGGCAGCAGCGGCCAGCAGCGAGCCGAGGCTACGCCCATGGTCCAGTGCCCTCCCGCCAGCAGGGTGGACCACTAAGCACTGGAGCTGGGTGAAAATGCGGGACCAGAAGGCGCTGCTGGCCAGGAGCTTTTCAGGAGAAGGTGGTTTGTTTCAGGGCCTGCTGCCACCCTGGGGCAACTGCAGCAGCCATGGCCTGCCGTGCCTGGCTGTGGACAGGCCTGAGGCACGTGGGACAAGTTGCCTGGCTGCCCCGAGCCTCAGTTTCCTCAGTGGAGAAGGGTTGTGCCCATGCCTGCCTCCATCATGCTCAGTAAACAGCAGGATGACCCACAAGTTCCTAGTGCCCCAACAAGGAGCCATTGTGACTGGCCACCTCCTCTGGCCGGCATCTCCACACGGTGCACTCCCCCTCTGCAAACCACAGTGTACTTTTCCAGTTGGGGAGCGAGATGGAGAGGCTGTAGCTCCCCTGCTGTCTCGGGCTGGCCAAGGGACCTCATCGTGGGGGCCCCAGGGTCACACTCCCCTCACCCCCAGCAGTGCCCTCCACAGCCAAGGAAGCCGGTGCGGAGTCCTGCAGTCCCACCAGCCGAGACAGATGATTCGAGGTTCAAGACCATCACTCGTGGGTTTGGAGTGAATGAGTCTGAGTTCCAAACAGTCTGGTCTATTGTCCCCAAACAGATCCACATTTGTAGGCCGGGGCCCCACCTAGAGTTTGGGAATTACATTTCCAAAGTGCTGTCAGCTCCCGACGAAGCGAGTGGTCTTCTGCGTTGAAGAACTCTCCAGGAGGAGACGTGGGTGCTGTTCGGGTCCCGGCATGACTCCAGAGCCCTGTCCCTTCCCTGGGCCTCAGTTTCCCCATGTGTACAGAAGAGGTTGCACTGCACCACGGATTTCAAGCTGGTCTCTGGGTGCTCAGAGGGGTGCATGGGTGTGGCTCCAGGGCATCCCTCTGCTGCTATGTGCTTTATATATTGAAACTTCCTAGAGGTGTCCAGTGGGAAACAGGATCCCATGCTAAAAATATCCACAGTGCTGCAATTCCAGGAGCCAGCCGCTTGGCTGTGCCTTGGCTGAGCCCAGGGGAGGGCGCTCCACTTGGAAACTGCCTAGTGACCCCTCAGCGACTGCTAGAGCAGGGACCCTGGCCATCATGCCCTGATCCCACTTCCCAGTTCTTAAAATGTTACTGGAACGACTCAGAAGCTGAGACAATGGGAACACCAGCACAGCGGCAGGCTGCACAGGTCTTGGTGGCCTCCCCTGCTTGGAGGCTGAGGTGGAGGGGGCAGAACCCCACAGGGCGGCTCACCAACTCTTGCTCTGGGCCTGGGGGCCCCAAACGCTGGTTATCTTTGCAGAACCAAAGGCTGTGAGGCAGTTGGGGGGTCCAGGCATCCGCAAGCTGGTGCTGGCGCTGGCTCAATGCCCATCAGAATCTGCGACATGGCCCCCAGGCGCTGAAGCCACTACAGGCTCAGGCACCCGTCTCCTCCAGGGCTCCAAACACGAGGACGATGCCCTGACTTCTCCCCAGAGCTCACCCCTGGGACTTGACGAAGCTCACCCTGCGAGGGCACCAGTCCACCTCCCAGCCTGCTTCCGTCCCAAGTGCTACAGGCCTGTCAGGGACATTGTTCCCTCTGAGCAAACACTCCCACTGGGCTTCGTGGGAAGCACAGAGCAACGCAGTCCAAAGAGCCGTCAAAGTCAGCCCACCCGACGGGGCCGGCAGGGCACCCACCTGCAGGCGCGTCTGCTCCACAGCCCAGCCGCGGCCTCCAGACAGCTGTCCCGGGGACCACACAGGCCCACGGTTTCCCTGTGCCCCTGCAGGCGCGCTCTCTGTGAGCACATGTGTGCACGGCTCTGATTTTCACGCACAGCCTGAGTGACGGAGAGAGAGGTGGGGACGTGGGAGCAAGCCTTTCACCTTCCCACAAGCAGCCAGAGTCCAAAGGTGCCTTTGAAAGGGAGCGTGACTCTTTTATGTGGTCAAAGCAGTGAAGGGTCACCTGCGTCCAGATGGGACTGTGCCCCCGCAGCCTGCCCCTCCCTCAGGTGACCCTACTGGTGACCCTGAGAGCTGGGCTCTGTTTACGTTGGGTGGGAAGTCCAGTGAGAAACAGCGGGAGGCCAGCTGACACTGACCTGCTCTGGAAGGCTGGGCGGCTACTGAGAATGTGGTGCTGCCCATTAGCCTCCTTATGGCCACAAGGGGTCAAGAAAGGCCCGTGAGGTCCAGGCAACCAGTCCACTTTAGCTTAAGGCACTGGCCCGGGAGCTCCCTTGGGAGCTGCGTGGGGCAAGGTGCTGTCTGCTTTCTCCCTGGGCCCCAGAGGCCCCCACAGCCCCGTTCCTGAGCAGGAGGGCAGTGCCAGCCAGGTGGGCAGAGGGACTTCCTTCATAGCCGTTGGGGAAACAGAACAAGGAAGTTGGCTGGAGAGGGCGACCCAGATGTGGCCAGCTGCCTGAGGATTAGGATGCCAGAACCAGAATCCTTGATCCTGTGGATGGGCTGGTGGAACACCGGAGGCTCTGGCAGGATTGGTCAGGAAGGGCCTGAAAGGCTTCATCCCGCCCACTTTGATGGGCCCTGAGCCTCAGGTCAGTGTCCCCAGCTCATCAGGATGCTTCCTGTGAACCTTCTAGAACCTTGTGCTTCCTGCAAACAGCGCCTGTGCTGGAGAAGCATCCATGGCTGAGCAAATATGTGGTCACGTGTTCCCTCAATTCAGAAAAGGGAAATGTGCCCGTGCCACAGGCCAGGAGGGCAGAAAGTTGGAGGGAACATGCCCGGCCAAGGCTGCCCCCCACCCCTGCACTGGGGTGTGGCTGAAGAGCAGCCCTGCCCATTGAGCAGACAGTGCTTCTCCACACAGAGCGCAGGCAGAGTCGGCAGCAATAAACAGTAGCACTTGTTATGATCATTATCACTGTTATCCACTCAGGGGTGTGAAAACCTTCTCCCAGCTGAGCCCAACTGCACTCAGGATCCCACAGGCCCCTCCAGAACGCCTGGCTGTTGCACGTGCTCCTCTCTAAACTGAGCAGGGAGGGGAGTAAAGGCAAAGCCAGCCAGAGCCATTAAAATATAACCTGAGAGGGAAGTTTGCAGAATGTTCTATAGCCCTGGGCCACAACCCTCTGCCTGGCTGGCCTGCCACACACGGGTTGGGCTCAGAGCAAGGCCGTGCCCCTCCATAACCAGCAGGGTAGGGAGGGAGGAAGTGAGTGAGAGGCAGGCTGCAAGGCCCCCCCCATCTGTGCACCCGCGCAGGGCAGCCCTCCCTGCTCTGGCGGGCACCTGCTGGGGAGACTAGGCCAGCACTGACATTTGGGCTTTGTGGCTCGCACTCTCCTCCCTGCTCACCATGCCGGTCCCATGGGAGCCTCTGGCTTCCCTGCTAGCTTTACCTTCATCTGGGCCCCAACATCAGGGGACTTGCCGGGAGGCATGGCAGGAAGGTGCCATCATCCTGCAGGCAGCAGGGGCTGGCCCCAGAGAGCAGGTTTCTGGGACGCTGAGCTGGAGCTGCGCTAGCTCTGCAATCACAGGGCCTGACTTTGGGCCCAGGGCCCCGCAGGCTCGGCCGAGGAGCCACAGCCCATGGAACCAGATCGAGGGCTGAGCCACGGGCGGTCTAGGGGCTGCTCTGGGGTTCCCATCTCGTCCCTGGTTGCTGTGTGTGTCACATTCGTGAGCAGACCCCCTGCCCAGGAGTCTTCTGCACTTGACAGTAGACAGTGGAAACAGAACATGGAGAGGAGTGGGTCACCCGCCTGAGCCCTTCCTCCTGACCACTGACTCTCCCCAAGGGGACCCTGTCCACATCACACAACTGGAACTCAGCCATTCATCCACAGGGTCCAGCGTGTGCCCCCCTGACCAGTCCCGACTGCCCTGTTGGGTGACCCTGCACTGCTACTCCTTGTCCTCTGGTGTGTGGTCACCAGTGGGGGTTCAGGCCTGTAAATGGGTGTGGTCTTACCTAGCAGGATCAGTTCCAGGATGCCGGACTCTGCCTGTGAGCCATCTCTCCTCACTGTCTGAGAGGATGCTCCCTGCCCCAGACAGGCCTCGGAGGATGCCCCCTGCCTACACCACCCCCAGGACCCCAGCTGGCCTGGAGAGGGCTACCGGGGTACTCGCGGGTCCTGGGACTGGATGGAAGGGAGGAGGGTCCCTGGCAGTAGGGGTACTTGTGTGCTCCTTCCTGCCCCTACCCAGGGGAGTGTTGGGCGTGCAGCCCTGCAGCCAGCAGAGCCCTAAGCGGAGACGTCTCCCGCAGGACGCGCCGCTCCCTCCCCAACCACCCCACCCCCGCCGCGGCCCCACCTGGACCACTGGGCGTCCTGGGCCGCGTTCTTGCGTGCCTCGTCCGGGGGCGGCTGCATCGGGCGCAGACGGCCGCGGGCGCAGCGTGTCAGGAGCCGGCTCCCGGCCGGGCCGACCCACGCGGGCAGCGCCGCCCAAGGCCACGTGTCAGTCCCAGCGGCGCTTCCGTCCGGCGCTCCCAGGACGTGTCGCCCCCGGACGGCCACCGCGGCGGGCGGGCGGGAGGGGCGGGGCGCGCCAATCAGGTCCCCGCCCCGCGGACGTCCGACGGGGAGGCCGGGCCTCGCGGGTCTGCGGCGCGATGGTCAGACCCCCGCTCAGGCCTCCCCCCTGTTCCTGGAGCAGGCAGACAGCCCGCCCCGTGTGGCGCCGCGCTGCCCCTGCGGTGGGCGGACGGGTGGGGCTTTGGCGGAGCTGAGCCGGTATGATCCTGGCCCCCGCGAGTGCCGAGTGATGGCACTGGCCTTGGACACGTTGTTGAGCCCGGGAGCCTGCGGGCCCGCCTATAAATCTGGGGGATGATGGTGGTCCCCACCTCACAGGGCTGTGTTCGCATCAAGTGAAAGTTAGGGATAATCTTAACTAAGTGCAATGACAGTAAGACTCCAGGGTCAACCAATTTTTAAGACAGCTCTTTGGAGGTGGGCTCCAGCCCTGTGACCCTGAACCAGCCTGCCAGCACCAGCGGCGCAGTGCAATCAGTCTGCCCGCAGCAGATGCTTGCCGAAGGGCTGAGTTCTTCACACAGGTGTCTGAGCATGGATCCAGGCTGGGCCCCGAGCTGTGTCCCATGGGGCCCTCACTCTCAGGGGCTCCACGTGTGACTTGAGAAGCCTGCAGCACGTGGATCTTATGCCCACGTGAAGGACGCAGGCAACACACAAAGGCTGTGAACGTGGGGACACAATGATGACTGGATTTCTGGCCACATTCTGCTTCTACCAGCTGCTGCCTCCTTGCGTATCCTCCCCCCACCTCCACCCCGACCCACCTCCATCCACCTGCCACACAGCAGCCTAGCGAACTGGGCCATGTCACACCATGCCGAAGCCCTCCAAAGGCTTCTCACTGCACTTAGAAGAAAACCTAAAATGTCCCTGCACCACGGGGGCCGGCCTTCCCGGCTCCAGCCTCCTCTCTGGGCCTCAACAGCTGTGTCTACCTTAGGCCTTTGCACTGTGTTCCCAGGGGTTCACTTGCCCAGCTCCGTACACGCTTGCTGAACAGATCGCTATCCTTTTGTCAACATCTGACGCTCAACGGATCAGAAAGATGGTGTGGAGAGAGCTGTATGCCCTCAAATAGCCCCAGCCCACAGCCAAGGAAAGTCTGAGCATTCTTGCTGAACTCTTTGCTACCAACAGTACTCCACTGTCATCCTGGTCGTTCGCTTCCACCCACTGCATGAGGCTGATGATGATAATTTTAGACAAAGACCTAGAATCACAGTGTAGGGGACATTTGTCTCTTGACTACCCAAAGTCCCTTTCCTCCTGGAGCTGACTGACGTTCTGGGGCGGGCAGACAAAGCACAAAAAGGAGAATAAAAGGGTCGGGAATGGTTGTTTCTGCACATAGACCGGGCTGGAGTGTCCCTGAAAAGACACGTGAGTGAGGCCTGAGTGAAGTGAAGGAGCAAGCCACGCAGGTGGGGCGGGAGGGGCCCAGGCTCAGGTGCACAGGACCACAGGGGCCCAGAGGGGCTGGAGGGGGAGAAGGGAAACGAGGTCACAGTGGTGGGGGCAGTGCAGGCACCACAGGCCTTGGAGGCCAAGTAGAGGCCAGCCAGGGCTCTGAGGTTGGAAGCTACCAGTGTCACAGGACCACCCTGGCTGCTGTCTGGACAGCGTAGGGGGCCAGGGTGGAGGCAGGGAGGACAAGACCACTGCAATACTCCAGGCCCGAGGCGAGGGGGCTCTGGCCAGGGTGGGAGCAGTGAGGCCAAGAGGTGCCCAGTGCACAGGCTGTGCAAGAGGGGCCGGGAAACGGCTCCAGGGCAAGCAGCGGACACCTTCCCGAGACCCCTGAGCTCGGCAGGACTCCCAGTCCTCACTGAGGTGGAAGGTTTGGGTGGCAGCCAAAGCTGCTAGACCAACTGTCACATTCTAAGGGGAGGCTATGAACCTGGTGCTGGCAGTGGCCAGGGTGGACACATGCTGTCCAGGCTTCTAGTTGATTCCGTGAGCTACCCCACACCCAACCAACCAACCCTCCTTGAGTTTCAAGGTGGAAAATGACTGGGTGGGATGTGTACAGAGAGAATTGCCGCAGACAGTTTAACAGCTGGTTTTCAAGAGATGGAGGGCTGCTGTTGGTGACAGAGCTGTCACAGCCACACCCACTGGCTTAGGGCGTTGGTTCCCCCTTCTTGTTTGGGGCCTGCCCACCTAACGTCTGTTTACTTCCAGTGCTGCTGCACCGAGACAGGCCGTAAAGGTTCTTTTAAAGCTAATTCACGCCTCACTGCTTATGTTGTAACCTCTCCCTCCTTGGCCCCCAGAGCCGTCCCTCCTGCACAGCACGAGGCAGGCAAAGTACAGACCAGCCATCACACCTCACACAGCTTTTCATAAAATGCAGATGCCACCCCGCCACCTCTGCCCCCTCTCCTGTCACCTCTGCCCCGTCACCTCTGCCCCATTTGCAGCCAAACAGGCACAATTCCTTCTCCTGAAGAGATGAGTCCATGAAAGAGACTGACAAATGGCCCCTCTGCCATTACAGACAGGAGACTCAGAAACGAACTCCCAGCTCTGGACACAGTCTGCAGGGACTGGCTGACGGAAGGAGGCAGCCCCCTTTGGAGCAGAATTCATATTTTAAGAGGCAGAGGAAAACAAGGACGAAGAACTGTGTACAACTTCATTGGAACCAGAAAAGATGGACTTTATGATGGTACCAAATGGATTTGGTCAATATAGGCTCTACAAGTGGAATTCCTGAAGGTTCTGGAAGAGTTCACTCTTTTCAAGTTTTTTTTTATATACGTTTTTGGTGAGGAAGATTGGCCCTGAGCTAACATCTGTTGCCAATCTTCCTCTTTATTCTTTTTTTCTTCTCCCCAAAGCCCCAGTACATAGTTGTATATCCTAGTTGTAAGTCATTCTACTTCTTCTATGTGGGATGCTGCCACAGCATGGCTTGATGAACGGTGCTAGGTCCACGCCCAGGATATGAACTAGTGAACCCTGGGCAGAGCACACGAACTTAACCACTCAGCCACGGGCCGGGCCCAGAGTTCACTCTTTTCAAAGTGCTGGTGAGCTCAGTATTTGAATCTTACCAACACTGCTCTCAACACTCCTGTTATACACTAAGAACACAACTAGAACGCCCAGGGATTAAGGGCTCTCCCGTCCACGAGTCTGTGGCCAAGCAGGGACCAACACCCTATCCCCTCACCTGGGCCAGTGTGGTCAACAGCCCTCCATGCTTCCGGCTGACTGCCCCCCACCTCCCTCCTTGGCCCCTCCAGGCCTGGCATGGCAATCCTTGGTGACAGCTCAGTTTGCTTTCTAAAGCTAGTTGGGAAGATCATGATCGTCAGACACCATGATCTGTAGGAGAGAAAACCTCACTTGTGTGAGAAGAGCCTGCAGATGTGTCTACAGACGAGAAGTCACAGGCAGGCAGAGAACGTGTCGACTGGCAGCAGCTCCATCACTTCCCTCCGGTTACTAAGCTCAAACATCCCACCCCAAAACACACAGAGCGCCTATGAATCCGGGCAGACATGCGCAGTACAGCCAACAGCAGCATCCCCCATGTCTTCCTCCCCCAAGCTCTCAGTGCGAGTCAGACTATCACCACACAGTGTCACAGCCTGACCACACAGTACCCAGAGCCAGACAGGAGGGTAAAAATGCAGCCACTTGGAAGGGCCCACGTGGACAAATTCCACGCCCCTCCAGCTATTCCTTCACTGACTGTTTTGGATAGAGCTGGGTACAAATGAGTCTGACAGACCGTCTTCTGCACTGTGGTCAGACTGGACCTGTGAGCCTGGCCTTCCAGCTGGGAGACCTCCACACACTGCAAACAACTCCAAGCCCCACATCCTTAACTCCCACCCTCTGCAGTGAGGAACTCACCTACCCTGCTCACACAGGGAGGTTGTGAGCCACGAACCCAGACTACCCCTCCCTGCCCCACCAAGGCCCTCGCCTCACTGGGGCTGGGGCTTGGCCTGGCTTCCAGGGAGCTGTGGCCAGCCTCCTGCAATGATAAACAGCTCAAGACACCACACCTCTAGGGTCACCCATCGCAGAAGAGTCTGCCAGGCTAGTTACACCAAAGGCCCGCCCAAACCCTGTGTCCACACGTAAGCAAATTCACCACAAGGAAGGGAAAAGGACTTCAATGGCATCTCAGAGTTATGGGAGGACATCCAAGACAGGTAGGTGCCACGTCCTGACACTGGGGCGCCTGCTGAACACCTCAGACTCTCATGAGTGCAACCCAAGTGCTCCCAGCACCGTGTCCCCAGCCCTCTGTGAGGGTGCATCATCAAGAGCCACCACATCCCTCCTGCAAGGTGGGGAGCGTGGGCATGAAGAATGGCATAAGGTGTCATTGCCATGTGGGGACAGTGATGGGAGAGGCTCCTTTTCCTGTTCTCTGACTTCTACACTCCACAGTACCACTGCCCTGGACTCCACTAGAAGGTACCGTCTCTGTCAAGTGCCCCACAACCGCCTTTCACACGTGAAGCCGCTCGTGGCCCTGAGAGTGGGACCCACGCCCAGACGGACACGGAACAAGCGCCACAGTGAGAAGGAACCTGGGGCTCACTGGAGCAGTCCCTCTACCTCAAATGTTTGGGAACTTTCATAAGCAAAAGGAAATTACTTAGGATATTCCAATTCAGCTTAAAATCATGTGGTGGGTAGCCCAAATAGTTCTATTTCCTTCACAAAAATGAAAGCTAAGTGTCACAACTCTAGAGGACAAACAGCAGGTTTCAAAGCAAAGGCACAGACATGAACAGACACACACCAACCAGACAAGACAAGGGGCTGGTGAGAGTGGGGACAAGGCAACAGCAAAGCCCAGAGTAATGAGACCAGTGTCCTTCCCCCCTTCTCAGTCCCACAGGCCAACTTCCAATAAAAAGGCGTTACATTCAATTCCTTGTTCTTATTAGGCTATCTTTACGGAAGAAAAGAAGGAGCTTTTAGATGACCACTGAGACAAAAATGTGAGAACTTTTACTGTGAAATTAAGAACAAGCAGCAAAGGCAACCTATTCTGCATTCTTCAAGATGCTGGTGGGGGCAGCACATATCGGCCCACAAGAATAAAGCGGGGTTACAGAATCAGAGGCGTACAAAAGGACTACAGCAGGGATGGTCCCATACAGGATTTCACAGGACTGACGCTGACAATACAATTTACTATAAATCCAAAAAAGCAGTACATGTTTCTGAAACAAAAACATACCCGTTGTAAAAAATGACACGCGTGGTGTCAGAGTAAAACACGTCAAAAAGCCGGACTTACACAGGTTGATGAGGACATGCAGCAGGTGGCCGCGCCACATGACGCCCTACTATGTCCCACTCGATGTCTTCGGTCAGCAGAAAAGCAGACCATTGCATTCACCTGACGCTTTTAATCTAGTCTTCTGTTCACAAGACTTGACGACAACAACTCGGAGGGGAGTCCTGCTCCATTATCCCGAAGACGTCGCTGTCTTTAACAGAAAATGTGCACGATTCTTTCTGACACCCCTGGTTCTGCCACTCCCCAAAACTAATATTGTACAGAAAGAGGAAAATAAAGACATCACATCGCCTTAGAAAAACCATCTTCAACGTGTTTTCTCCTCACATCTTCAGAGCGCGTCTTGACTGGATGGAAAGAAGGGCCTCGGTGTCCCGGGGGCCTCATTCACGGGGTCTTCAGTCACGTGCTGGGGAGACTCTCATCTCAAACACCAGTCCAAAAAACATCTGCCTTTTCTAGAACCTGGAAACCTTAATTCAAATGGCAAAAATATAGTTCTCATTTGCTTTGCAATAGTCCCAAGGCTTTGGAAAGATTCCAAACCAGGGGTTATTCCTCACATGACTTCATGATATCAGGAACATAGAGTACCAGAATATTCTCAGATTTTATTTATTTCAAGGCACTTTCCACAAAAAAGCATAAAAAGCAGAAGTAACTACCTCTGTAAAACATTACATTTTAATAAACATGATAGTAAAATCCAAATGAGACGAAGCAGAAAAATCAAATTATACTTAATGCTCATTATCTTGAAATGGCTTAATTTAGTTTGCTTGCTGAAAAAGCGGAAACTGCAAAAAGGTGGCAAACAGGCAAAGTCTGTACAGCCGCTCCTTTCGGAGGAGATTTCTAGTCCACTAAGAGATCCCAGGAAAAGTAACTAAACCTCTTAAACCAAAGTAAAGAAAACAAGGATAACAGCTGAACCCTTCAAGTACCACCAACAAGGAGCTCACGCTGGTCTTCAGCACTAGCTTAGGAAGCTACTCAACGGCTGAACTGGGACAGAAACACCAACACTGAGTCTTACAGCCACTTCCTGACATTTCACGCGCGTGACAAAGCCCACCCAGGTCCAGGAGTCTGTGGGTAACTCCTGAGAACAGGACTTCCCATTACTACACACCTCACACCTGCTAATCTGGAGAATACGTCCAACTGATTATATATTAATTAGGCAGGTAAACGGTCTTATATACACTCATCATAAAAGAGAAATAGGAACATGCTGAATTATCTGGTGCTTTTCAAAAAACGTACAGCTTTATCTCTACCTCTCTTCTAAGATTTTTCTTCCAGCTTCTGCTATATTTAACTACTAATTACCTGAATATTAAAACTCTCTTTCCCTCTAACTTATTTTTATCCTCAAAGCTCAGAGGAAATGATCCTAAAGAAAGTTTACACCTGAAGACGACTATGGAGACAGAGTTGACACACATCACTTCTGGGGTGAGGGGCACCCCCTCACCCTCCCCAAATGAACCAGGCAGCACAAGGGGACAGTCTGGAGCCCAAAGTGGTCTGCAGGGGCCGCGGGAGTTCTAACATGCTTCCGTGACTGAAGGACAACCGCCACCTGGCAAAGGCAAATGCTGCCCACAGCTCCTGCCCTCAAAACAGCAGCACCCTCAGACCCCTCAGCGCAGGCAGAGAAGAGCTGTATCGCAGACACTGCGTGACGGAGCTTCAGGGTGCGCAGGGCCTGGACAAAGATGGCCCCAGCAATCAGAGGCAGGCCACCTGACCAACCCGAGTACCTGCAAGCTGCCTAACCTTGCTTGTCAAGGAAAGAAACTCCTCCAAATTCAGCTGCTAGTGGTCCTTCTCTCCACCAAGCCCTGGGTACCAGAACACCCTGTGCCAGTACAAGGAATCCACTGAGGGAGAACTGAGTCCCAGCCATTCCAGCAGCTGGCAGCCCCCACCCAAGTGCATGAGCTGTCAGAGGCAAGAGGAGCTCTGTGCTCTTGGTCACCGTCACCGCCACCTCCACAAGACTTGCCCTGAGGGGTCAGTGGTTCTGTTATGCTCCACAAAACTGACTCCTAGCACCAATGCTCAGTGACACTCTGCAATGAATCCAAACACACGTGTTTCCACTCCAAGTTACACGGCACTCGCATCTCACTGGCTGCACTGGTTGCCACTTTCAAGCTCCCCACTGGGCACTCCCAGCCAAGGACTCCACCACACCAAGGCACACAGCCGTCAGCACTGGCACTCCCTCCCTCTGAGAAGTCCACTCCAAGCACACAGAGCAGGGGACTGGTCCTCCAGCTGCAGGCACCAGATGATGTCACTACCATCACCATGGGGAAGTCAGCCGCCAAAACAAAAGGTTTGTTTGAGATGACTAAAACTTTTTGGAGGCCGTTTTGGTCATTCTTGAAATCAAAGAGAAACCTTTATTTTCAACAAAACTGCCTAGAAGAGATGGTTCATTGATCCTCTAGGAAAGTTTCTCACCACATACAGCACCAAGATATATATTTAAAAAATTAGAAAACACACCACCCACCCCTCACACACACATCTCCCCAAAAGCCACACAACCCAGACCAAAAGGGAAAACAAATCAAACTCAACACCATCACACAGAAGAAGTGTTTGAATTAGGATTTACAAATTTATATAGTCTTTTCTATGAAAAAGCAAAAACCAAGGGGGAAGGAGAAACTTCCGCACGAGGCCTGAGGAGACTCAGGAGAAGTGAGAAATGCGCCATTGCCCACGTGCCCGCAGAGAGCAAAGCAGCCACCAGTGCTTCTCGTGTGCTCGGTGGAGTCCCAGTGTAGCCGGCAGTCCCCAGCAACAGCTCTCGAGGCAAAGGAACCCTTCAGCAGCCGACACACCGAGTGCCAGAGCGACAGCGCCAGCCGCCACCACCTCCAGGTTGCACCACAGGCGGATGCGGATCAGACTGCCAGAGACAGTGTCTTTCACTGCGAGTCTTCCCGGGCTTCAAAGGGCCATTTTTCCCTTCAAAAAAGATGCCGGGTCAAAAAAAAGTAAAAGGGGGAAAGAGTTCTCTACTGCAGTAAAAATGTTTCAGTCGCAGATGGGCCAACCAGTGTGCCGGGTGGGGCGCGGTGCCGCTGCACAAGCCCTACTTAGGCTCCTCAATGGCGCCCTTGCTGAGGTCTGTCATTTTGGGATATTTCACTTTCTTCTGGTCCAGCTCATTCTGAGCCCAAAGGAGTAGTTTCAGTAATTTTGCCAGCTTGGGTGTTGACTCACGATTTTCGTAATCTAGGACAGCTTGGTTAACTTCACTCCACACCTAGAAAATAAATACATCCAATAAAAACAACCACACATGCAGAGCACCAGCAAGAGTCTGTGATAGTATCATTTACACCTCTCGAAAACCATTTTTACATGAGAAGCTTACATCAGAAGGTTGTGATTTATTTAAACAAACAAGAAGCCCAGAACCATGCAGGACCCTGGAGGAGCTGAAACATATACTCCTCGCCCAGAGGGGGTTCATGTCTGGTCGGCAACGCCACATCTGGCCTGGATAGCAGTTAAATGCCATAAGCCAGGCTCCAGGGGACAAGGAGAGGGGAAAGACCAGGGTGGGAGTGACAGGAGATCCATCCCAGCGAGCCTCAAGAGGACACCTGGCGTGGGCCTCGGGGCTACACTCCTTCGAGCACAGAGGAGAGCGGGGAGACAGGGAGCTGTGTCTGGGGGTGACGAGCCATCACGTGGGCTGGAATACAGAAGCAGCAGTGAGGAGCGCAAGGAGCAAGTCTAAGAAGCAAATATGGGAATTTAAATAAAAAACACTCAGGACACCTATCTCTAAAAGTCTCCAAATAAACAGGAAAGAGGTTAAGACAAATGAGAAAAATTGGCAAACAGGCTCGAATATGTGACAATAAAGTCACAACACTCTGCTGTTCCTCGTTTAACACAATAAACAATTAAAAACTAGGGCAGAATTGATGCTATCATACCATACATGCCCAGAAATGATCTGTCTTTCATTCTACACCATAAATTCACACACACTGTATTTTTCTGAAAATCCCATTCTCCATATCCATTAAAGGTGAGAAGGAAGACTTTCCTTTCACCAATCTTTACCTTTTGCCTCTGCATCATATTGAGGAGATCTCCAAAGGGTGACTCTTCAGGGTTATCGAAGGCCAGCAGGGCCAGTGTGCGCTCCATCTCCGTCAGGCACTCTCTGCTCTCTTCGCCTTGCTCTGCCAACTGGGTCTGAGCGAACTCCAGTGCTGCCTCTGTCTCGCGCTGGCGGATGAGCTCGATCAGGTGCTGTTGCTAGTCGTTGGCAAAGGCAGACAGGTTTACACACCACACACCCCGTTGTATGGCATTTCTTTCTAGTCAGAAGGACATCTTAAAGAACAGTTTCCTAGCATCTCTGAGTTATTAAATTTGTTGTTCTTGTTTCGCTGAGGAAGAGTTGCCCTAAGCTAACATCTGTACCAATCCTCCTCCACTTTATATGTGGAATGCCACCACAGCATGGCTGACAAGTGGTCTAGGTCTGTGCCCAGGATCTGAACCCGCCAACCCGGGCCACGGAAGCAGAGTGTGCCAAACTTAACCATTACATCACAGGGCCGGCCCCTAAATTGGCATTTTTAAAGCAAGAAACAGCTTCTGAAATATATGACAATAGCTATGTCAAACCCCTTCCCCATGTAAATTAAAACAATAGTTTATTAATGCAGATTAGCCTCATTACTTCTGAATCATTGCAAATAACCTTAACTTAACGAGTGTCCACAAACCAGACGCCTCTCAACAGAAACTCACTTGCAGGTGGAAGTACAGATACCGGTTTGTGTCCAGGAGCTCTGGATGGAGGCTGTTGATCAACGCAATAGCCTCCTGAATCTGGCCTTTCAGGATCATCTCACGGATTTTGATTCGCTCATCAAGTGTTTCTAGATCCACACTAGGTTCGATCCCGGATTCCATTCGAAACTTCTCTGCTGCTTCCTTAAAGCCCTCTGAAAATGAAAACCATCTTCATTGCTTGGAAAATCATTCCTGTTAAACCTTTTTATCTCTAGAAAGCCTGTTCACCTTGAGTAAATCCCCTCCGATGTGACCCACTCCTTCTTAGGGATTTGGTATCAACAGCTTTGTGATGAACTAGTCACGCCTGTGAGATACAGAAAAGGAGAAAACCATGCTCATTTTGCTCTACTCCACTCAAACAAACTCTAATCCACCAGCCAAAGGTGAGAAAGAATGCCAGGAAGCCCAAAGTGTTGGTGTGGGCTCCTTGAAGAAGGCTGCAATTCCACGTATGATGCAGAGAAGCTGCAGAGCTGGTCCAGGTGAGGCAAGGCACACTGGCTACGCTGTCACAGCCAGCAGCCACCTGGCCACTCCCACCTCTCAGTGAGTCTACAGTTCTCTTCAACATCAAAGCAGCCTGTGTCCCTCTCTCTCCACACACACACACACACACACACACACACACACACACACAGAGCTACAGGCTGGTATTTCCTCATCACCTTTCAAAAAAGGTCTTCACAGAGACTAATGTGGGGGGCCCAGTGCTGGGAACTGGTAGGAAGGAGACTTCCACCCTTTGGAAACATCTGGGTTTTCCTTCCAGGTACAGAACTGCCCCTTCCTCTCCCATGTCAAGGAGGACTGAGGGTCAGCTACAGAGCACGTTTCTTTCCTTCCTAGGCTTCTGCCCTTCCCCGTTTCCTCTTTTCAGTTGGGCACACCTTCTAGAAACAGTCCAGTATAATCTATCAGACTGGCCAAAAGCCCATTACTTGGGCTTTAAATGTACTTCAGAACATTCTTAATTATCTTGATTAACTGTAAAAACGTCAAAGGCCAAGAAAGAGGTTTTTGCCTTAGGTCTCAGAGACCTGGGAGAATCTTATCTTCAGAAGAGAATATCTTCAACATGATAATTTACAAGTTTATTAAGTTAGCACCGTGTTTGTATAACGCCTAAACACAACATATCTTTACCACGGAACTTCAGTACTAAAGTTCTGATTGTGTGTACAAAAGGGGAGAATTACCTGTGACCAGGTAGTTCATGATGAGACGGTTCATGTCTGCTCGCTGGACATGTAAGTTATTGAGTTTCTCCATCCACTCATCTTTCGTGATTTCATCGGGTTTTTCTGCATAACTCATTCTGATTTATTTCTACAGGAAAAAAAAATTTTAAGAAATTGGTAAAGAATTCTATGACAACTGTGCTCATTTCAGAAATAAACACAGTGACGTAGTAAGAAGTAAAAGGAAGAGAGTGGGAAGATAATTTAAATCTGCAAAACAGCAATTGCAATGGGCCTGAGACCCAAACGCAGGTTTCAGGAACAGAAAGAAGGCTGGGGTATTTAGAACTTAGGATGAATGCAGGTAAGAGCCAAGGGTCTTAGAACTAAGAGGTCAAGAGGTCAGCTGGGGTCAGAGTGAGTAAGGCCTCACAGGCTGCAGGAGGAGTGTAGGCAGAGACTCCTCTCAGCACAAAGGGCACCTGTGAAAAGTATAAGCTAAAGAACTACATGCTCGACTTATGTGCTCAAAAGAAGCCCACAATCGCATACCCACCACACTGACAAAAATTACCAAGTGTTAACAGAGACGTGGGGTTCTCTTGAACTCTTTACACTGCTGTCAGAACAGACTGGTGGTACAAAAACATTTGGCATTCCTCGTAAAGCTGAAAACGTGTGCTCCTCACAGCCTAGCAATTCTACTCCTGCTAGATTGAGACCCTCGAAAACTCACCATGCATCAAACACAGACAAGCCTGTTTAAAGAAACTGCTCAAAACAGCAAACTATGGAAGCCACCCACCCAGATGTTCATTTAAACAGCAGCACGGACAAACGAACTGTGGTTCACAGAACCAAAATCCCAAGCCCGAAATCCTTGGGCAGACATGTTTCAGAATTCAGAATTTTGCAGATTGTACAAAGACTATATGGCACAGTTTACCACACAGTATATGACATCCTCACTGGGGTCTGGGACAGCACCTCATAAACAAGTATTTCTTCAGTGAAATGTATGTGTATTCATATTGAGTGGAACACAGGCTATTAAACAGCCTTCACGAAGTCAGGTTTTGTCATCACATACCTTTCATTTTCAGAGCTATTTGGATTTTGGCATTGCTGAGAAGGCATTGTGACCGTGTATTCACATAACAGAATTCACTACAGCGCTTAAAATAAAGGAACACAAGCACATGGATGACCCTTAAAAATGAGCTGGATCAATCAAGCAAATTGCAGCAGAGGCCCAAGCATGGCAGACAGTTTAGTAAAGAACAAAAACAAGACAACTATATAACGTGTGCTTTGGCAATAAATACACACGTGGCAGAACTGTCTTGTATTAAGTAAGGGCATGAAACACGAAACTAAGGAGGTGGTTACCGTGGGAGGACAGGCAGATAGGTAGGTGCTCACCCTGGGAGCACCTGCTGGGCTCTTGAGACGAGTGGTGAGCCCACCACTGTCCACTTCATTTTAATCCTTCGTAACTGATATGTATATTATGGGTACTACTTTACGTAGCTAAGCACATGCTAAACTACTTCAATAAACAAATAAATAAAAGATGGCAAATGTGGGGTAGTGAGAGCTGAGCAGGAAGACAGATAAGGAGCCAGCCAAACAAGAGAGGGCAGCGGCAGAAGAGCTGGAGACACAGCAGATCGACATTCTGTGGACATGAGCCAATGGGCCTTGCTGCTGGACTGAACATGGAGGGATAAAAGAGCGGGAAGACCCGAGGACAATCGACCAGAGGCTTCAAGCTTGAGGTCTAGGAGGGTGGGGCCACAAATGAGAGGGAAGGACCGGGAGAGAAACAGGTTTGAGGAGCAAGGCAAGTCTGAGCTATGAGACACGCAGGTGGAGAAGTCAAGCAGGCACCTGGATTACAGGTCGGGAGCTCAGAGCTGGAAACATTAATTAGGAAAACATCTGCCAAAAAATGATACCAGAAGCCAAGAGTTGGGCAAAGATCACCAAGGGAGATAGTGTGGGTAGGGAGGCAAAGGGGCACAAAACAAAGTCCTCAGGTGCTTGGAGGACGCGGCAACGTACAGATCAGCCCAGGGGGGAGGCGCAGCAGAAGAAAACTGGCCGGGCAGGCAAAACCAAGAGACGCTGTCCCGCACACAAATACCCATCTCCTGCTACGGCCAACTGCACGACTCACTCAGGCCCTCTTCTGATGTCTAGACAACAATTCAACATAACCGAGGACAAAGAAGGCACCCTCTGTCCGCTTCCACTGGGTAACCAGCAGTCACCCAGGCACCACTCCCTGGCGGGGAGAGCGACTTTTGAAAGCAACCACTTTGGAGGACTGGCCTTTCTGTTTCTTGCAAAAAGAACTCAGCTGTTAAATACTCAACGTTTGATTCAAATCAAAATCCCAATTCTGAAGACGTGCAAGCAGCCATGCACGTCCCGGGCAGCCCAGTTCCTGCTCTGAAGCGGTCCTGCGATAAAATCGTTCTCCTCGCAGAGACACATGTGCGACATCTCCAGGAACTACCGCCCTCTGACCGGCGGCCCTTGTGAACGCCGGAGCCCTCACCGGAACGCGCTCCAGGAACACGCCGAGCTAAGCTGCCCGCTCCACCGCGCCCGCCCCACCGCGGCCGAGAAGGACAGTCTGACTTGCAGGTCCGGAGGGCGCCGCCTCCCCCGAGAACTCGCCCGGTTCTGACACCTGCGGCGACCCGCAAACCGTAAGGCCCGAACGCGGGCCGGCGGCCTCGGACGGAAGCACCGGCGGCGCGGGGACCCGAGCCCGGCCCCTCCCGCGTCTCCTCGCCGGCCCCCGCCCCGGTCTCCTCCCGCCCCGGGCTCCTCCCCCGTCCGCCGCGCTCCCGCGGAGACGCCCGGCCCGGCCCCCTCGGCCCGCCGCGGCCATCTTACCGTGCGGATCCCGCCGCCCGCGCTTCGCGGTCCCCACGGCAGCTCGGGAGACCAGGCGGGCGGGGAGGGCGGCGGCGGCGCCGGGGAGGGGGAGGCGGAGGCGGGGGCCGCGGCGGAGGCGGGGGCGGGGGCGGGGAACCGGAGGCCAGACGCACCGGCGGCCGCCCCCCCTCAGCCACTTCTCGCGAGATCGCGATCCGGTAGCCAATCAAGTGCTCCCGCGAGGGGGCGGGGCGCAGCAGTCTCCCGGAAGCGGGGGACCCCCAGCTTCCGCCCTTGCGCAGAACTCCCCTCGCGGCGCCCTCGCTCTACGGGTTGGCGCGAGAGTCAAAAGGCGTCGGCCGCCTTTGGGCAAGATGGCCGCCGTTGAACCGTCGTGTGGGGGAACTTCGCGCCGGGATGGCGACATCTAGACTGAGTCGGAGGCGAACGTCCCAGCGTCCCTTCCGTCGTTTGTGTGAGCCCGGAGGGCATGGGGTGAGGGCGGGAGACAGTCGCCGGTGTTTCGTGTCGCCCCGAGGCGGAGTGCCTCCGAACGGGCGCCCGCCTTCGCACAGGCCCGGGAGGAGCCGCCCGAGCGCGGCCGACGGGAGCGCTCCATTCCGTCTGCTGAGGCGGGTCCGGGGATTGCCCGGCCGTGGCGGGGAGCGCTTGCTCGCCCGCTGCCAGATGAATCAACAAACGGGCCGCCCTCTGGGAGCCTCCGCCCGAGGCCAGGCGCTCCCTCCCCCCGGGGCCCGGCCCGCCCTCCGCCGCGCTCAGGTTGGGCAGGGGCTGCAGGCGTGTGCGACAGGGCCCCGGGGTACCGCGGCCGCTGCCCGGCGACCGGAGGGTCTCCCTGTGCCGCAGCCGGGTCCTGGGGGACGCGGAGACGCAGAAATACACGTTCGCGCGTTTGCTTATTGTTGGTCGTCTGCTCAGGAAGAAAGCAGACCGGCTCAGAGGAGGGTCTCGTCTTCCTATTGCCGGAGAGTAATGTTAAAGGACGTTAGAGCGCTTCGGGAAGGAAATTGAAGTGGCAGCCTCTTATTTCATCCGAGGAAATCCGACGTCTTCCCCATTTAGAAGTCAGGAGTTAGATGGTTTCATGTGATTGCTCAAAAGTGAACTGAATAACGCGAAAGTGTTCTCAGACTTCTCCCGGAAACCAAGTCCAATTTGGCAGATAGCTTTAAGAGCGATGACTAGTTATGGACATTTTCCATTAGTGGAACGAGCTAAATCTGCAGATCCAAAGCTTTGATACAAATCTAGTATTTAAAACGCAGGTGCAGCACGTGTCCATGATTACGTTCTTTGCAACTGCTTGACCCTATAAACAAATTTAAATGTCACCTTAATAGTGTGCGATAGGTTGCGGATTTTAAAAATTCTTTTCAAGGGTACACAAGCAAAAAGCATGCATGGCAGTGTCCTAAGGAAATACAATATTCCTGTCCACAGAGGCTTCAGCTGCCCCTTCTCGGTGGGTCATAGGTTAACAGCCCCTACCCTCAGCAGCCAGCCAGTTACCAAGTCCTGCAGATTCTACCTCCTTGGTTAGGTCTAAAGACTGGCTGCTTTTTATTGTGCCAGCCTCTCCCTCAGAACATTGAGGCTGTCTTCTCTGTTCCTTGGATTGCCCTCCCAGAGGTCCTGCCAGCTCCTTTCTGAAACCCTCGGAGCAGGCAGGGTGATCTCTCCTTGTCCCCCTCACACACTTCCTGGACTGTGCAGCTACCTGTGCAAAGTGAGCACAGTTAAAAACAGCACGCTCCTGCCCTTTCCCTCTCTGCTCCAGCATCCTGACCTGTTTGAACTTCTCCCCACTCAACCAGGTTCTCTCACCTCTGGGCTCTCACATAAAACACTTGGCTAGGCTGACTTCTCAGAGTGGGAACCTTCCCTAATCAAAGTTGGATGTGCTGCTTCTCTTTTGTGCTCACGTGCTGTCCTGAATTATCCCTTTGTAACATTTGGCACACTGATCTGTATCACTGATGCCTGTAGGATGTCATGCTTCACAAACGTGAGCTTGACAGGAACTGAAGCATCTAGTACGTGGTAGGAGTTCACAGAGATTTGTTGAGAAGGTGAAGGAATAAGTGAGTGAGTGATGATGGAGACCTTCACTGGAAGCAGCCTCTGGAAATGGACCAAGGGAGACCTTCAGTGAGGAGGGAAGACTGGCAGTCCCTGGTGACTGACAGTTTGTAGAGGTACGGGAGGGAAGAAGTCAAGAGTGATGCTTAGATGCGGATCCTGGTTGATGAGGTCAATGGTGGTGGTGCCAACTGAGAAAGAACCATCATGATGAGGAGTGAGATGGAAGGGAAGGGAAGATGATGAGTTCACTGTGGACCTTGTTTAGTTTGAGGTGCCTGTGGGACACTTTAAAGCTCAAGAGAAGGATGAGGGTTTTGTGTGTGAGGGCTGATGAACGTATTCAGAGAAACTCCATAGAGAGGAGGAGTGGATGAATCCAGGAGGACAGCAACATGTAGGCATTAGCGAAAGAAGTTGTCCACTGAGGCAACAGAGAAGAAACACCCGGAGAGGTTTGACAAGGACCAGGGCCTCAGCAGGCTCTCCCGAAGCTGTGGGGCATAGTTTCTAGATGTGATTAGCAGCGTCAGATGCAGCAGGGTGGGCAAGTACGGCATTCAGCAACAACTGACCGACAGTTCCTGGTGACAGAGTAAGTTCACTGACAAGGTGGGGTGGCAGTTAGACTGCGGTGAGTTGAGAGGTGAATGGGGGTTAGGTGAAGTCAGCTCATGTGTTTACCACTTTCAGAAGTGATTCAGGCTGTGCGGCAGATGTGCAGAGAAGTGAGCAGGTGGAACTGATCACGTTAAACACTGAAGCAGCAGGATTTGGTGGCTGAGGGGGAGGGAGGCAGGCCTGTCAAGGAGAATCTCCAGGTTTCTGGCTTGTGCATTTAAGTTATGGGCTGGGACCATCGCTGAATAAAGACACCAAGAAAGGGCCTGGGTTAGTGAGGAGGCTCAGAAGTCATGAGCTCATTTTGCATGCTTTAGGTTTTGAGGTGCACTTGAGGCATCAAGTGGAGATGTTAGGGGAACAGGTGAGTAGATGCATCCAGATCAAGGTAAAGGCAAGCACAGCCAGGTGTGCTTGAGGTCCCCTGTGGAGAGTGTATGGAGTGAAGATGGAGGCGAGCCTGGCCGGAGGCCTGAAGACACCAGCCTGCAGCGAGGAGGCTGAGGGTGTGGGAGCAGGAAGGAGGTGGGTGGGTTCTAGGCCACTTTGGCCACCATCTGTAGCATTGACCAGGCTGACTAAGATTTCAGCCCAGTGGGATCATTAACTGGCTGCACTTCCTGGTAGGAAAGAGGGGCACCGTTGTGGGGGGGGCAGCCAGTGGTCCAGTGTGTTCTCCAGGCTCAGGTGGAGAGTTTTGTTTTGACAAATTAGCAGTTCTTTAAAGACAGGAGTTAACAGTTTATTTCTTAAAAGAACATTAAAGAGTTCTTAAAAAGGGAAAAGTATTTTGAGAATAAAATACACGGTGCTTCCTTTACTCAAATCCTAGACTGTTCCACAACTAGGATATCAGCCATGTTTTAGAGAACCACAGTACTTCGGTGGGTATTTTTGTCTTACTCTAAAAACCCAAAAGCATAAAATCAAACCCCTGCATACTGGAGCCCCTGCTTTCAAAGAGATTTGGCAAAAACAAACCTGATTGTTCTGGATAATGAATAAACGAATTGGTTGTTGCTGCTCAGAATCATTGCCACAAGCAGGCAGTAAACACCAGGGAGTCAGTTTCCACAGGCTTAGCTTTTCAGTGTTCTAAGTTTCTTCATGGAGATGTTGAAAGGAGTAAGGAAGAATTTTATTACGATGTAGTTGCTGCACATACTCAGATGCCATGCGTCTTACTTGGACTAAGACCCCCGTGGAGCATGTCATGGGGTTGTTTGATAGGGTCACCCTCCCTCTCCATCTCTTTCTACATCATACACTAAATCAGAAAGCCTGGCTATGTCAGACGTTTCTTTGGATGGGTAAAAGTAAGAGTAATGTTTTTATTGATCCTTTTCTTTTTAACCTTTAACTCCTGCTGAGGTTGTACCATAAACTGTGTCCAGCATCAAGCTCCTTGAAACAAATGAGTGGTGTGGGGGCTGCCAGCAGGAGGGCACGGGCAGACCGCTGGAGTGGCATTGTTTAATTTGCCCATTTGCAGACTGTTTGTGGACCATTCCTATTGAATTTGACTTTGCCCGTCAGACCTGACTGGTCAAGAGTTTGATATACACATCAGTTTGGGATTGGACCTTTCTTTCTTTTTATAAATTTAAACAAAAATTTATATAGATATACACATGTATATCCATATAAAAACACATATATAATAGATATGTGTATAGTTGTATCTATGTATGCTTTAAGGATTTTTTTTGTATGAGACCCGCTGTTAGGATCAGAAGTCTAACTGGAAGTTAGAAGCATTGAATGAAGATGAGACATTTTTTCTGTCCGTGTTCACATTTTCCTTTTTTAAAACACACTTGCAAAATTTTTGTTTTTTGCTTTTTTGACTTTAAAGTCCTCTTACATTTACTCTTTAAAAGCTTACTTTCTATTGGAGTGAGAGGAACTTTTGTACGTCTGACAGGCTCCTAAGATTTTTCATTTCTCTGCACAACCATAAAAGGGAACATTCTTGGCCTCTCACCTTCTGTTGACAGATTTGGGGGAGATCTTGTTTTTCCTTGGATTTCTAAATTTTAGAAGCAGTTTGTTCAATCTGGAACTCAAACATATTCTGGTATCAGAAGGGTAATTTATGGGTATTGATTTTGTTGAAATTCAGAATAAAATCTTTTGGGTGTCCTTTTGAAAACCCTAAAGCTCAGCTTCTGTTATTCTTGTTGGTATTTCCTTCAAATACACTCTTTCTCACTTTCACCATTTTGTTTTTGTGAGCTAAGCAAGAGCAGGAATTTATACAGTATTTCTATTCTGGACAAATCCAGAAAGCCACTGTTAGACCTGACTTTTAAACAATCTTTTTCACTTTTTAAGTATTTTCATTTGCGGAAAAAAAGTAATCTCTTAAAATGTAGCCTGTACGATTGTAGCTGCACCCTCCCTCTGAAGCCCGACACGCCAGCGGCCTGGTGCCCTGCCCCTGCCCTGGAACTTGGTTTAGGTTGACCATCCTCTCACCTTGGGGAGGTTCTGCAGCTTTCTTTTCATGCTCCCCAGTGGGTTTAGGAATTCAAGGAAGGTCTGTGGGCTTGGTTTCCCTTTTCTCTGTTACATACTTAGCAGCACGATTAGCCTAGAATGCTAAAGGGCCCATTTAGGCACAATTGCTTTACTCTTAAATTGCTTTTCTGTCAAGATCTGTGAAAGGCATTGATTTTTTCTGGCTTCTTTATTTGGTGTATTCCTTTAGAGACTGTTAAGAGATGAAACCAACCAGAAAGGAAATATGATTTTTATGCCTTATACTTATTAAA